AAATTTGCAACCTGAAGTCAAATGTCCATGCTGTTCTAGTATCAACCTCAAATCTTTGTCCTGTAATCGGAAGAAGCTTAGATACTGAATTGTGAAGTGGGCAGTGTGTGTCTGCTCTACCCCTCCTCCAGTAAAATGCATTTTTTCCTCTTTTACATTGTTGAATTTTATAGCATTGGTGGGATTTAAGCTTGGATTAAGAGAGAGACGTTGCAAGCTTGTTCATTTTGTGGGGGGTGGGGTGGGGTGGAGAGTAGTGACGAGTCCTCAGCTGCAACAGTTATAATCCAAATTGTCTATTAAGCTTTTACAGGGATCCTGCTGCGAGAAGCCAGGCCGAAATAGCAGCATATTCCCTCTGCAGCTGCTCTTTTCAGTGCACCGGGCTTGTCTGATTTTTGCCGCGAAAGGCATGCATCAGACAAGCCGTAAGTGTGACCCCCTGTGATTACATTTTGAGGCTTATTTCAAACCAGTATTTTAAAGCAAAAGAGGAGGGGAGGAAGCGGAGGAGAGAGTCCAGAGAGCAACAATTGGAAATGCTGCTATTTGACACAAGACATCTCTTCCACAAGTGGAAGGATCATAGCTGAGTGGTGGAGCATTTGCTGTTCATGATGCACAAGGTCCCTGGTTCAGTCCCCAGCATTTCCAGGATGGTTGCAAGAGACTCCTGTCTGAAACCCTGGAGAGAGGCTGCCAATCAGTGTGGACAGTATTAAGCCAGATAGCCAGTTGGTATGGCTTGTTATAAGATATTTTCCAATCTTCCACCTCTAATATAACACTAGCTCATGCCTGAGGTTTCTGTTTTTATCTTTCTTTTATGCATCAATATTAAAAAAATAACAATATACAGTGGTACCTCAGGTTAAGAACTTAATTCGTTCTGGAGGTCCGTTCTTAACCTGAAACTGTTCTTAACCTGAGGTACCAATTTAGCTAATAGGGCCTCCCGCTGCTGCCGTGCAATTTCTGTTCTCATCCTGAAGCAAAGTTCTTAACCTGAGGTACTATTTCTGGGTTAGTGGAGTCTGTAACCTGAAGCGTCTGTAACCTGAGGTACCACTGTATCCTTCATTCTGAAACAAATTCCCTTATTCATTTTCTTGGGCACCAAATATATCTGTGGTCAACAAGTGATGGTGCTTTAAAATTCATTGGGGTTCAACTACCCAGTTTGCAGTCTGTGCTGAGTAAGTTGTGCCGTCAGTGGGACAGAGACTTAGGACTAGGGTTGCCATATGTCCAGGAAAACCTGGACATGTCCTCTTTTGCGGGGCCAACATGCCCACCCAGGCAGATTTTAAAGGAAGTCTGGGGTTTTTTTGGGGGGGTATTTGGAGGGGCTTGGGGGTGGGCTTGGGCTGCTCTGCACACCATAGCTGCTTCCAGTCCGAGCTGGGCAAACAGTCATGTGGGCTTGGCAGCTGTGGTCCCACATGCCCGCACACCTCTTTCCTTGTCTCAGGCTGGCAGTGGCTCAGGCTGTCCTCTTTTTTTCCTCTTCAAGATATTGCAACCCTGCTTAGGGCATACATAGGCAACTATGTGAAAGTCTCATGACAACCCCCAGTTCTAAAGCAACATCCTCTGTTCCTGCCTACAAAGTTCAACTCCTCGTTGTCTTCATCTAAGACTGTTACCTGAGGATCGGCTTCACTGAACTCAGTGGGACAAAACTTGCAGATCAGGCTGTAAAACCCATTAAGCATTTGCTTGACAAAGGTGGTTCTTCTGCCAGCTGTCACGTATGCTTTGCTTTTCTCTGAGAACAAGCAGGATGATCTTTCAAATGTTATTGTTAGCATTTCACAAAACATTTCCTCTGTTCGTCTGCAGTTTTAAACCCTTCCAGAAAACCCGTCCCTTGTGCATCACGAGGATTTGCGCTGGTGATGGTATTGGGACGCTTATAAGCAAACCTGCTTTCAGTAATGTTTGTGCCTGCAGAAGTTTTGCAGCGGACACCCTGTTTCATCTCCAGTCAGCGTGTGTCTTGTGGATTCCCGCTGGCATCCTGAAATTTTGTGTACATCAAAAGTTCTAGTGATGTTGCTGTTCTGTCCCACTGCTGTGCAAGAGTTCCCTCTCAAGACAGTAATAATATGTTAACAGTGGGAGTGCATTATAGCAAGACTAATAAAGGGGAATGATGTAAGGATGCTCCACTATATCTACCACCAATGCACTGATATTGTGCCAATGATATGTTGCTGAATACACCTGCAGAAAAAGCAGCAATCTGGAGAGCCCTGAGTTAAGCGCTCAATAAATGTAACACTAATGTCCCAACAAGTGAAACTGATCTGTGGAAAATGTAACTTGAAAAAAGAGACATTGCACATACTTTTGTAAACCAAGAAATCTTTAATAAAAAATAGATTTTAAAAAAATATGAAAAGAAATATCTAGTCTCCATCTACATGATTCTTTTCCTCCCTGTTCTCGCTAATTGGCAAGCCCTCAGATGTTAAAAGGGGGTGTCAGGTGCGGGTCATCAATAAATCACACAGAGTACAGTGGTGCCCCGCAAGACGAATGCCTCGCAAGACGAAAAACTCGCTAGACGAAAGAGTTTTCCGTTTTTTGAGTCGTTCCGCAAGACGAATTTCCCTATGGGCTTGCTTCGCAAGACGAAACGTCTTGCGAGTTCTTGCGAGTTTGTTTCTTTTTTCTTAAAGCCGCTAAGCTGTTAATAGCCGCTAAGCCGTTAATAGCCGCTAAGCCGCTAAAAGCCGCTAAGCCGCTAATAGCCGTGCTTCGCAAGACGAAAAAACCGCAAGACGAAGAGACTCGCGGAACGGATTAATTTCGTCTTGCGAGGCACCACTGTAAGTGAAGTGAACTTTTTATTAGAAGAAACAAAATCTGCTCAGGAGTGCCATGCCTAATGAGCACAGCAACTCTTCTTGGTAGGCCGTGCCCCTATGAAGCATTTGAGACTGAAGATCCTTGCTTTCCCACAGGTTCCTCTCCCGGGTCCTTCCCAAGCAATCTGAGACTCTGCCAGGATGACTGTCGTTGCTCTTCCCTCTTCATGCCTCTTCTGGTTCTGGGAGACCAGGGGAGAGGGGAGCTGGTAGCAGCAGGAGGGGGAAACACTGTCGATTCTTCACCAGCCTGACTCATCTTTGTCTCTTGGTTTCCCTCCTCTCCTACTTCCACTTCTGATTCTGGACTTCTCTCTGCCACAGAGTCTCCCTGCTCACTAAACCCTGTTACCTCTTCAGCTTCCGACACCTCCTCCTCCCTCTTCTCCCTCTCACCAACTCATCGTCATCTCGCTACCACTCCCCAGGCTTCATCCCTTGGGGGTTCCCCAGTTGGTCCAGCCAGTCCACAACATCAATATGATGTGTGTTCAATCCAGGGTACTCCTCTTTCTTTCTTTCTTTCTTTCTTTCTTTCTTGTCTGCAATCCTTCACTATCAAAGATAAGATAATTGGTCCCACTCACCCACCCCAAATATTACTTCAGAGTGATGTCTCCTGCTTCGTGGATCTCCATATGTTTAGAATTGGTATCAATGAGCCAAACAATAGGAAACATTGAAGGCTACCAGAGCATTATTTTTGCCAGATCATTTGCTGTTGCTAGAGATGAATTCACCAGAGTTCAGTGGGGCAGCTGCTCTGGTATTCATGGCAACTGCATTTGTGAGTTCTTGTTAACCAGAGACTCTGAATGTTAGTGCTCTGAGAGAGGTAGAAGAAATTCTATGTTCAGTCTGTAAGTGTCAGATTGCTTTAGTGTAGAAGATGTACAGATTGTATAGGTATCAATCTACAATTCTTATCCTACAAGAGGACAAACTACGGTGGCACCTTCTCCCCCACCTGCACATTTGCAGTAGGCTCCCTGATCCAGAAAAACCCCCACTTTCTTAAGGTTCAGTGTTATTACAACCCACTTGGTGGCATAACTTGTCCTCAATTCTAATGATTTTGCGCTCACTAATGATGAACAACTGTGCAATGAGGTGTCAGGATTTGATGGTGGCTGTTTGCAAACTTGGGGGTAATTATACTCCGTTGTCTAATAGCTTATCTTATTGATGTTGTGCTGACATGTTTTTAAGCAACATTCAGTGATTACAGAGACTTAATGGTACCAGTTCCTGGCTCATTATCATATTTTTTTTTTTGCATTTGATTTGTCTGATTGCTGCAGGTGGAAACAATAGGTGATGCCTACTGTGTTGCAGCAGGGCTCCACAGACAGAACCTAAATCACGCAAAGCCCATTGCGCTGATGGCCCTGAAGATGATGGAGCTGTCAGAGGAGGTGCTTACACCGGATGGAAGACCTATTAAGGTAAACTTACTTGCCTGAGCAATCGAAAGGAAAGCAGCTGTAGCACAGGCACAGTTGAATTGCCCTGGGTGCAACTTATAGCCCTTACAGAGTGTAGGTCAGCAAGGTGTTAGGCAAAGCATGATAGCTGATTGGACCCTCCTTCCCCAAGAGCAGTATACCACTAAATACCACTTGCTGGGGAGCAAAGCCACAGGATGTTGCTTTCATGCCTTGCTTCTGGAGTCATCTGGCTGGCTACTGTGGGAAATGAGATTCAGGATTCAATGGTTCCTGGTTTTAGGAACCTGCGAACTTATCTTTTAATAAATAAGAATAATAATTTATTACCCACCCTTTACCATAAGGTGCCAGGGCAAATTACGACAGTTTAAAAATACAATACAGTGGTACCTCGGGTTAAGTACTTAATTCATTCCAGAGGTCTGTTCTTAACCTGAAACTGTTCTTAACCTGAAGCACCACTTTAGCTAATGGGGCCTCCAGCTGCTGCCGCGCTGCCAGAGCATGATGTCTGTTCTTATCCTGAAGCAAAATTCTTAACCTGAAGCACTATTTCTGGGTTAGCAGAGTCTGTAACCTGGAGCGTATGTAACCTGAAGCGTATGTAACCCAAGGTACCACTGTATTAAGAGGAGTTAAAACAGATTGCAGTCAAGAGAATAGGATGGACCCTGCATATTTTTATATAGCTCAGTCGGTAGACCATGAGACTCTTAATCTCAAGATTGTGGGTTCAAGCCCCACATAGAATTGTAGAGTTGGAAGGGACCCCAAGGGTGATCTCGACCAGCCCCCTGTAATGCAGGAATGTCAGCTAAAGCATCCATGACAGTTCACTTTATTATTCTATGAGTGAAAGATCAATTTTCCATCTGCTTTCCATCTGACCAGCTGGTAACAACCCCACATTCCCTCTCACGGCAAACTCAGTGTCCCTGTACTAACAAAAAAGGAGACAAACATGGAGCCAATGGGAAATGAAACTGTATCAGCATTTGCCTGTCGTCCGAACAGCCCAGTGCAGACTGAGCATGCTCAGTGGACATGAGGTGCCAGAGAATGCTGTGTCATTTGGGAAGGAAAGGCATGAAATGGAAAGGATAAGGAAGCCTACTTGAGTTACTGAAAGGTTATAGTAGACAGCATGGGTGGCCAGAACCCTGAATAGGAGCACTCCTGTTAGGGGGTAAGGATATGTTGTTGTTTAGTCGTTTAGTCATGTCCGACTCTTCGTGACCCCATGGACTAGAGCACACCAGGCACTCCTGTCTTTCACTGCCTCCCGCAGTTTGGTCAAATTCATGTTCGTAGCTTCAAGAACACTGTCCAACCATCTCGTCCTCTGTTGTCCCCTTCTCCTTGTGCCCTCCATCTTACCCAGCATCAGGGTCTTTTCCAGGGAGTCTTCTCTTCTCATGAGGTGGCCATATTATTGGAGCCTCAGCTTCAGGATCTGTCCTTCCAGTGAGCACTCAGGGCTGATTTCCTTAAGAATGGAGAGGTTTGATCTTCTTGCAGTCCATGGGACTCTCAAGAGTCTCCTCCAGCACCATAATTCAAATAATTGAATTGAATAATAATTCATAATAATTCATAATAATTTAATTATGGTGCTGGAGTAAGGATATACCCCCCCTAATGTTTTTATGATAGCATTGGGGACAGGCTTTTCTTTTTTCCCCATTTCTTCCCCCCATCTTTTCTTAATTTTTTGCATTTGGGGTGTGGAGGTTAAGCAAAAGCACTCCCTTAGATGTTAATGCTCTTCAGGGTTTGGAATAAATTTCTCACATACATTTTTTTAAAAAAGAAAAAAAAAGAAAAGCTTTGCTCCTAGGTCAATCAATGTGGCATTCTTCATAGAGAATGGTCCAGTGGGAACAACATTACATCACAATGTGGTGTCATTTCCAGGGGCATTGTTGGTTAAAACATGAGAGAGGAATATGGCACAAAGTTTTTCCCTTTGAAATCTCCACTGCTCAGCGACTGGCTATCATGTCAAGCAAGTGATCCATTTTCCATTCTCTCTACCTCCTCCCTACCTGAAGTACAAGCCATAAAGATAGCATGGAAAAGACATAGTATATCCTCTTCTTGCTTTGAACTGCGTCAGTCCAAATGTTGAGCTGCGGCGTCCCTTTGCATCCACTGAGTAGAGCATGATTTTCTGATAAGCCCAACATGATGTATTGCTGGTTACATTTGTCCCCCAGGCAGATGCTTCATTCCCAGTTACGTTGGAGCATGACAACACAGAGCTTATCTGCACTGAAATTAGCTTATCCGTTTCTTGGGAAAATAAATACACAATGTGCTTTGTTTGCAATATCTTTCACTAAGCCGGGGGGAAAGTTTCTGGATGCTGAACTGTCTTGGAGATACATTTAAAGCCTTTCATTAGGCATCGTATGTGTCATCTGATGTCGTTTAGGTAGAGCCATGGCTGGATCAGCTACAGGGTCAAGTTCCCCTTGAGAGAACTCAATTGCGTAGGTGTAGCTAGTTTTCTTTTCCCGTGGTACTTTGGCATCCCCAGTTGCTAATTGCTGCAATGTTTTGTGCACCTTTCTTGGGTAATGATAGCACCTAATTTAACAGCAAGCACTTGCTAGCAAGACGTTCCATGAGATATAATAAACTACAGATCATTAAAGTTTGAATTCATTAAGGAGCTTGGAATACAGATGGTAAAATAATTTTCCAGCTCCACCCCCCCCTTTTAAATTTCCCCAACACTCAGTAGAACAGACATAATTGCATGATCTTGACACTAATGGAGTCATCTTCTCCAGAGATGTAACTCTTCACTGACTCTTGTGGGGATCATGATGGGAGGCTGAAAAGCTAAGAACCAACCACTGACAATGCAGTGGTGCGCCCAATGTGCTGGCTTTCAGAAAAGGAGATACCATATAGATGAAGTGGTTCCTAGTTTTGCCTCAAGTTCTTCTTTTTTTAACTAGAAACATGGTGCTAAGCTGTTGCTGAATAAGTGCAAGGAATGCAGACAAGAGCTTCTCACATTCTCTGTTCCACTTCCTCTGCTAGAATGATAAATGTCTGGAAACACTTCAGAAGAGTGCCAATATCTCGTCTTTTCCCTCTGGACTTGAGTTGCATGTGTGTGTGTGTGTGTGTGTGTGTGTGTGTGTGTTTACCACTATCTAGGAATGGGGGAGAAATTCACTATTAAGCTTCACTATTTCCTTCATTTTGTGCCGGTATTATATTTTCAGTATAAACAGGACTCCATTTTCGCACCGACACACACACACACACACAACACTTTTAATTGTTCTCCCCTCTGAGATGAGGAGGGGAGGAAACAGGAAAACCTGGGCATTTCAGGATCTAATCAGAAACCGTTATGGATTCTGTAATCCCAGAACTGTCCCTGGAGACTTGAAGGGTATGTAATGAATTTCAGAAAAAAGTGTGAGATATTGATAAAAACTGTAAATGCAGTTCTCTTCCCTAGCTTTGTACCTTCCTACATCAGGACAAACAGAAGAAATAGTGGGCATAATGACCCTGATCCACTCCCAGTGTTGCACAATGACAGGTGCACAGACATCTCCATCTGCAACTGTGTGGTTCTGTGTCCAGCCAGTTCAGTGGCTCCTGATGAACACTGCAATATGGAAAGGGATGCATGCCCAGATTTGCATCTCCATTGTCTGTACAGACACACACATCTACAATCTCCTTTGTTGGTTATCCAGGGACCTGGTTTTTCATAACTGTAAGCTGAAAGTGCCTGCCTGTAACATCTAGTAATAGAGTTGTGTTTGTTGGAATAAAAGTAATTCCATTATTATCACATCGTTGGCTGGTTTTGACTGGGGATTGACTGAAAAACCAAGTTAAGAACTCTGAGATTTGTCCCTGTCTATAAAATTGGTGTTTATTATTTTGGGGAGAAGCCTTCATTAGATTGACCTTGCGCTAAAATACAAGGTAGCTGTAGTTTCTTGAAAGTATTGATTTTAAGCTTCCCTGTACATCCTCAAATAGCAAATTGGAACACCATTGAGGCTAAGGAAAGCAGTTTTAAATTGATTTCAATAGGAGAGTTCAGGGATGATCAAACTGAACTCAGTGGCTTTTAAAGTGCTTAACTTTGGCACGACCATACCCTGTATTTCTCCCCAATTTTATTCCCTGTACTCTAGCAGAAGCTAAATGTTAATAGGCAGAGCTAATAGGAATTCTCTAGAATGTTGACCTTCAGAGTGAAAGAGAGAGATATTGTTGCCTCTGCCACATTTAGCGTATTTAATCCATTGGAATTAAAGGTAATTTTTGGATGTACATTTAAAAAAGCACGCTTAAACTATTGCCCAATTAACTCATGCTCTGGTGAAACAAAAAATAGGGAGGGAGGGAGGTGTTTCTTTAATTCTGCATAGCTCTAGTCTTACAATCTTGCTAGATGGATAACTTCAATAACCACATGTTATTGACAGGTGGGAACTATACAAATGGGATCAATGGCTGTGGGGATATTAGGTTGAGGAGGATTAAATTTAGACCTCACCCTAAAGGTAAAGATATAGGGACCCCTGACAGTTAAGTCCAGTTGCGAACGACTCTGGGGTTGCGGCGCTTACCTCGCTTTACAGGCCGAGGGAGCCGGTGTTCGTCTGCTCCACAGACAGTTTTCCCAAGTCATGTGGCCAGCATGACTAAGCCCCTTCTGGCGCAATGGAACACCAACACCAGAGCAGTGCACAGAAGCACCATTTACCTTCCCGCCGGGAAGCACTTTTTGGCGTGCTTTTGAACTGCTAGGTTGGCAGGAGCAGGGACCGAGCAACGAGAGTTCACCCCGTTGCGGGGATTCAAACTGCCGACCTTTTGATCGGCAAGCCCAAGGCTCAGTGGTTTGGACCAGAGCACCACCCGTGCCCCTAGTGGCATCATTTCACTTTTCCCTGCCCAGCAACAGAGGTCTGCCCACCTTTCTTTGGTGGTCTTCTGGCTCTTTATTTAATTTTAAAAGTAGCTGCTGCCTACTTTCAAAAGTAGCCGCAACATCAAATGCGTAGGCACCTGTTTTTAACTCTTCTCTGCTACCTGTAGCAGCGGCACAGCAAAACATATCGATATACTGCAGGTGCCGTGTTGTTTTTCCTGAACCGCCCCAGATGCCAAGTTAGGGCTGGGGTGGGGTGAGGGCACTATACGAAAACGAGTGAACAAGTGGCGAGTCTGCCAGCCACTCCTGGAAATTTGTGGAGGGGTCTTTGAAGAATAGGCAAAAGAAAGGAATGTTTCATTAATGGGTTCTGCATAATATAGCATCATTACACAACTTACCTGTATGTGACATTCGCGGGACTTTCTGCAGCTTGGGGATTTCGTTGTTTTAACTGTCTTTGTAAAGTTTTTTTTTCATTGTCTTAATATACTTGCTGCGTACAGTGCTATGAAAAATTCAAAAAATGAGGACTTGTTGTGATAGTTATTTTATTAAATACGCTATTTGCGAGTCGCCTCCTCAGTTTGCTGGGAGACACTGAGCATTTGACGTATGAAGCTTATGCTTGAGGTTTCTAGTCATGCTGGCTACGTCAGTGAGATTCTTGACTAAAAGAGTTTTCCCTTTAAGTCTCAATAATTATTTGCATTTTTTTTTTAGTGAGTTAAGGTGGCACTAATGGGTCTGAGGAGCGAGGCGAAGAACTAAGCAGGCGCAAACGTCAATTTGCATGTGCTGCTAAAATTAACTCTGCAATTATGCAGATT